AACATGTACCGTTACATTATAGGATAGGGTTATTTTACTTTAGTTCTTGCAACACTGAATCCGTCCGACAAGCATCAAAACAGTCAAAGTGTCAATGTCAGACTTGATCCGATTCACGTTTACCGACTTCGCCGATTCTCGGTATATGTACGCTTTTTCTTCGTATTTGTGTTTTATCGTATTTTACTTTTATTTAATAAGTGCCCCACGCGAGTGCTCCACTAATTATAAACGGTGTAATATATAGATTCTGTCTAATATACTTCGATCAATTATAGTATTAATATAATTATGTTACAAAAAATAGTTACAAATAACAATTTCAAACACTGAAAAACTGCTGCCCTTGTTTTTTTTTTTTTAGCTAAACCAGTTAGCATACATCCTAATCATCACGCATATACATAAACCTACATAACCTCAATAATTGAAACTTTAATATCTACATTGTGTAATAATGATAAAAACTAATTGCCAAAATCAACTTTTTAAATCTTCATAACTTTTGTCCACTACCACGTAGCCACATGCACTTTTCTAATTCTTTATATAGAATATCTGTACTTTCAAATGACATAGATTTCATCCCTGTACAGTCTGAGGCACAGGTTCATACAATTTTTGGCCATCTCCTTTACTTTCCTCAATTATCCTCCCATATTTAAGGCAGACAGACGGTCGGCAGCACCAGTTTATAATACAGACAGCATACTTCCATTCAAGAGTGAATGGCACAGCACCGCGACTTGATTACATTATTCGAAAATTTACCGTGGATGATAACAGGAAGTTTATCCCACTTGTGATGTAGGCGACACAGGATCATCTTCAGATACGCTCATGATGGATGTGCAAACATGCGTGCGTCACAGCATAAAATACAAGAAAACAATCGTTACTTGCACCGATTCAATAAACGACGAGATAGTATTACCGGCATCATCAACCATAGATTAGGACGCTAAAAGAGAGCCTAAAAGGTTGGCTTTCATATGTGCCAGTGAGTCTTCCTCCATGTGCAGATTGAAATAGGTGGCTGACCGAAATTTCCTTAGTCAGCTTTGACGAGGGATCAGAATGCACAGGTTTTTGAATAATGAGTAATTATTTTGTCATCAATTCTACCGATGTGTTCTGAATTTGCCTATTCAATGACTCTTTTATTGGAATTAAGGCTAAATTATACTTCCTTTTAAGTGCGCTTGTGTATGCATCTTGAGACGTCAATAATCGTCCGTCGTAGTCAGTGTTCATAATGATATTTATTTGAAGTCCATAACGACTATAAAATTCATTGGCGCTGTAATAATCACAAGACATTCTACGATTACGTACAACTTGTACTAGTTAATCTAACGTGCTTTTTTAAATGTGCGTTCATAATAATGACCAAGTGGTGTCATTCCTGTGAGATCTCATGGTAGTGCCTGTGGATACGGGTGTTAGTCATTATTACGTATTTCATTCCGTTATCATATACACAAAGCTTACGTTTGAATGGCTCGACATGTGGACTAAACAACCGCTTATCCTTTACGTGTAGTTAGCTATCTGAAATCTCTTTGACACAATTTAGTCATTAGCTCTCGGAAGAGAGTAATAGTGTTCTGTGGTCTTTAGTGTGAACGTAGAGGGTTTTGTGTTAAATGCTAGTCATTCTAGTAACTCCCACATTTACGCTACGATAGGCTGATCTCACGATAGCATCATCTATGTTGCTGTATTTATTTAATATATCATAAATTAAAAAAATATTATTTTAAAGATATATTTCTATTGTACTCGTCTAGTTGGGATATACTGGATCGACACCAGTTCATTAGAGTGTGAGTCAAGCATGCCTTCCCAATATATTTTATTTTTATATATCGAATACAGATTAAAATTAATTAAAACAAGACTAGTCTTATTGTTGTTTTTACTTAATGGAAAATATGATATATGCACATAGATAATTAGATTCAGAAGATAAAAAGTAGAAAGTTCTGGAGTTAATTCGATAAGTCAAAAAAACAATACCTTAAAAATAAATTTGGTTTGAATTTGGGGTTGTTTCAAGGGGCTCTATCGAAAACACCCCCATGCAATTTTTGCTGCCAAAGTTGCGAAAATTTTACCGAAGTATTTTTAATTATTTTTTTAAATATTTCTAAATCACTAATTTAACGTGAAGTAGCACGTAATTAAATTCTTACGTTTTTGACGTTGCATACCTCAAAGTCATCTCATAATGCGTAAAATTAATCACTAGGCCGGCTACTTTGTTGACAGTGATGGATATACTTTACGTCATTCCATTGTTTCCTGGTTTATGTGTTCTCTAACGTTTTTATCTGCCTCCACCTGTTTTTCGACGACCTCGTTACCCCTCTGGATACTTTTTTACAAATGGTTGTAGCTATAAAATATGTTAATAATTTAAAATAATTATAAAAGTTTATATTTTGGTGTTTTATTGAGTGTAAGAGCGAATAGAACCCGCTATCCAATTCGTGGTTATTTTTTATAAACCACTCAGAAGTAGGAGCCCCGCTAAGCCGGACTCCGTCGAACGGACATCCCTAGACTGCGCTACGTTAAGTGGCGTTAAGATTTCTTACGCCATCCCCTATAAATCAGGTATATAGTCAAATACATTCCGAAAACATAACCTAAATTGAAATTTTTAAAAATTTTAAAAAAATCTAAGCACGTGTGGCAGGTGAGTAAGTGGAAGTGATTCTACAACTTTCCCGCTTCCCTCTCCACCACCCCAACCCCCTAATTCAGTCGACTTAATTTCAAATCTTCCCCATAAATTTAAATTACTTGATCTCAACTCTTAAAATTTTCGCATTTTCTTACATTAAGTGAAACACAAATATTTCACAATGAAAAGTCAATTAATACATTCTAATACAATGATATAGGACATTTACTAATTTAATAGACAAATTAATATCTGTTCAGCTATATCTATATTTAAATGTATAAAAAAACGTTTTGTGGTAATTATGTACCTTCTCTTGTATAAAGAGAATAATTTTGAATCTAAATGAACACTGAAAAATCATATTCAGTTTATAGTGGATAAGAAATTGTTTTTTGTTCAAAAAACTAAATGGATCTTAAGAAAGACAAAACGTATTGAACATACATATTTTAATATAATTAACAGCAAAATCATTTTTTCAGTCATAGGCCGGTATTACTTTAATTTTGGATAACATTGAATCACACTGTTTTGTTATAATCCCCATAGCTAAAATTTGTTATAACACTACAGCTATTATAATACATAAACTATATAGGTAGCATGTAAAAACCACATCAAGTGGCATTGCTTGTAAAATTGATCTTGTAAAATATATGTATTTCTCTTTGCCTTAAAAATAATATCTCAAGGTAATTTTGTCGTATGCAAAAAATACAGAAAAATTAATGACGAGATAAAATGGGAATCAAATTCCTAAACCTATAGGAAATTGTATCTAAGTTTTTGACCAAAATTAATAGATAAACTAAAGTTGATGCATTTAGTATTAGAAAAAATATAAATGCATAAAATTAATGGGTCAACCTTAAGTTTTATACACTATTCTCCGCAATCTTAAAATACGGAAACACGGAAGAAGGAATAAACATGTACTCTTCATAAGCCTGTTATTTGCCTTTGCAGAAAAACGACTTATTATAATTCTTAACCTGATCAAAAACTGTTGTGTAAAATCTACTTTGATCTAAACTTAACTTTCTGAGGCAGTGCAGTCACTTTGGCGTTTATGTATGTAGAGTATAAAAATAACCATTAATCACTTGTATGTATATACAATATATGTTATGATTTGGGTTCATATTGTGAAGTTAAACGATTCATTTCTGGTAGATTAAAAAAAATTGAATATGATCAAAGCTAATGTCTAACATAATTTGGTTTACATCAAATATATATATGTATGTATTAATGAGATAAAATATGAGTGTTTATAATGGATCTCAAGTACGAGGAGGTGTTCAATTCGACAGTATGCTTTTTTTTATGTGTGTTAACTCATAGCTTTTCTCTGGGTGAGCCGATTTTGATGATTCTTATTTTTTATTTGAAAACTGGTGCTTTTCGTGTAGTTAGTATATAAATCTAATCGGGATCTGACAAGTAGTTTTTGAGTTATTCTTAATAATGCGTATGTTTGTAAATGGAACGTATTTGAAAAAAAAAGTAATTTTTTTGTCTAGACTGTCATAAGAAAAATAAAGGCTCTTCTTCTCAATTTTCACACCATACAAGACGTTGTTTTATTTCAATATTTTAAAATTGGATATAGCATTGGAACCTTCGCCGAATTTTCTCTGCTGAAAACTGCAAGGAACTGCACCGCGAAAATATATCGAAAAATCAGTCGAGTTTAACAAGGATTTAATCTGGTTTTAAAGAAATACCGGCCGAAGCACCGAAGCATATTCGAGGCAGGCATTAGCGGAAAATGAAAACCTTCATGTTGTATGTTCAATGTATGGTATGTTTTCGGAGGAAAACCTTCAGATAACTCAATAATTGAGCGGCACATGAAAAATAATAACGGTGTTTGCTCTAAATAAAAAAGGCACAACATGCCCTGTTGTATGAACTGCAGGTACCTAACTACTAACTAGCTGTTGCACGCGCGATGAGTTGTAATGGTGGCGGTTGCTTCGTATGTCAGCGTTTGAATACTGTGACTTGAAGTGGAGACTACTGCGTGGCGAAGAATTGTGCTGTAATTGAATTGGACTAACTATTTAGTATTTTATGTGCAAAAACAATAGAAACTTTTTGCTATTTGATAATGAGGTTCTACCTTCTGGGTTGTGTATGTATAAGTAATCTACTAAAAATATATTTATAGCCTGTGTTTGCGTCAATTGTTAAGACGGAGGACGCAATAACAAAACTCATTAACAGAATAAAGTACTATAAAGATGGGTTAACTAATATTGAAAATCAACTAGCAGAGGTAAGTTTTCCCGAGCAGTATCTGAAAATGTTGGATCAAAGAGCAAGACAAATTTTTAGAACTCTAGAACCAATCATGATGGAAATCGAGGAGCTGGATAGTATGCAAGAATCAGAGCATCTCAAGAAAATAGAAGATATAAGGATTGTGGAAACGACAAAAAAGGTAAGTCGCACACGTTTGTAATTCACCTAAAGTTTCTCTGCCTTTTTTAATGGAAATTACAACAATTGGTAAAATTTCAAGGATCTGTTTAAAAGTTTTTCGCACAATAACACAGATTTATCCGATGTCTAAAAATTGTATTATTTAAAATGTAGTATTAAGGGTAAAGCTGCTCAGTCAATTGCAACATTAGAATGTGTCGATGATAATTATGTCAAAGCATGGTTATCTTTATTAGAAAAATATCATAACAAGAAATTAATGGCAAATTATAACATAGCTTCCATGTTCAATCTGAAAAAATTAATAAAAAGCAACAGCTAAAACTGAAGACAGTTATTAAGTGATTTTCAGCAACACTACAACTCCATCTTATCATTAAAATTAAAAAAAACCTATGTGACATAATGCATGCCCATGTTTTATCCCATAAATTGGATTTTGAAATTCTATGTGACTTCGAATTACAGCGAAATGGGAAAGCCAGTCCAACGCTCGATGATATCGTTACATATCTACAGCATCGCTTTCAGTTTCTTGAGAGGATCGCTCCAGATACTACTCCGACTAGTCTTCCTGTAACAAGTCAGAGAGTAATAGCCCAAGCCAGTACTGCTGCTCCTGAGAAAACAGGCGATGTGTTAAATTTGTAATAAGGGTCACCTCACAAATAAGTACTTCAAGTACGTAAAAATGTCTGTTGATGAAAGATGGCATAATATAGTGTCCCTGAATCTATGTTCTGGGTGTCTGAGTCCAAATCTTAATAAGGTCAGCTATAATAAAAAATATTTTAAATCTGAGAAATGTAGTGGGCAGCATCATATTGTATTTGAAAAAAGTAATATTTTTTGATGAAGACTGTCATAAGAAAAATAAAGACTCTTTTTATCAATTTTAACACCATACAAGACGTTGTTTTATTCCAATATTTTAAAACTGGATATAATAGCGTATTTTATTGAATTCAAATATATTGATGATGTTCTGTTTTACTTATATTGAAGTCCGTTGCACAAAGTTTTAAATTTTGCCACTTGTATCACGTGTATTTTTTTAATTATTTTTAAATTTATATTTTAACCATTACCTGGGATTTTCTACTCTATCGTGGAGGCAGTTTACAAAAATAAATTGTACAAGAACAAACATCCAGAGCCGGAAAAATTATTTGTAAGCCATCCAAATACTTGTTCCGTGTGGGATTCGAACCCGCGGCCCCAGTGCATTCATTCATTGCTAAACCACTGCGCCACGGAGTCGTCATTCAAAAATGTAAAAATATATTTACTAAAACTGTATGAAATTTAGTAAATTAATTGTTTATTTTCAAAGCTGCTTAATATCTTTGCAAAAAGTCGGACAGCTAGTTTCATAAAGTATTTTAACAAGAAAATACATTAGTTTTTACTGTACAAAGTACCAGGCGTTCATCTCTTTCTTGTCTTAGAAGTAGTGGTATTGTAGTCAACTTATATTCAAAACGTTCTTAAAACTTATATATTATGTTTATTTTTTTAATTATAATAATATATGACAGCAAATTATTTAAATTTACATAGTACACCAACACCTACAGAGTATACAAACACCTACATAGTATACAAACACAGGGAAGGCGTCAACGAATATAATTATTTGATCAAAGTAACTTACCTGTAAGTGTCCTTCTATCAAAATTATATGAAGTTGACGTTTCCTCTATGTACAATGCTACCGTGCTGTATATATTGGGTTTGCTTGCATTTTAATATTTTTTTCCCAATTCTAGTGGATCTAAATATGCAATGATATGAGGTGTATAATATTGCAAGCGGTAGTTCATATAAGTTGGTATACCTGTAAAATCTCGTTTTTCCCTCGGAAGATTAAAACTCGTGTGATTCGGTCCGTCAATTCATGACTACATAGTATATACACACAGATAGTGTCAACTTCATATAATTTTGATAGAAGGACACTTACAGGTAAGTTACTTTGGTCAAATTATTATAGTTGCATCTCGAATGTGTAGGAAAAACCGTACCCTTTAAGAACAACAGCGTAAAATAGCAGCACAATGCTGAGATTAATGTAGGTGACTATATGCCATAGCATCCACATACTGTAATGCACGTTTTTTATGCCTTACTCTTTAAATTAACAGGTTTTTAATAACTCCTGGGAGGTGCTCTTCAATCCAGGTAAGACCCATCATTGTATTTTGTTGCAAATTAATTAATATCTTTATTATAATGGATTTCCGCAAAGTAACGCCGGATTCTATCAATTATTTAACAGGTTTTTAGTCTAGTTAAGATTCTACAAGCGGTACGTAGACGACACTTTCACAATTTTACCATCTGACAAAATAACTGCATTTTTAAACCACCTTAACTCTATAAACTCTAAAATATAATTCACAATATAGTTAGAGGCAAATAATTCTTTAGCTTTCTTAAATGTTTTAGTCATTCGAAATCCTAATAACACAATTGGTCACACTTTGTATAGGAAAAAGACCTATACCAACCGATATCTAAATGGTGAATCTCATTCACACTCTCATCATTCACAGTTAGCTACCGTGGGTAAATCTTTGTTTCTGAGAGCACGAGTGATCTGTGACAGAAAACATCTGGCCGCCGAACTTCAGCACGTCAAGCAAGTATTGCAAGACAACAAGCTTCGGGTCCCGCGCCCGCGCCATGTCACAGTGACCGAGTGAAGCCGGCCACAGTCGAGCGTGTGCCTGCTATAATACCATATGTCAGAGGTATCACAGACAAAGTTGGCTACATTTTGAATAAAGCTTCTATTAGAACATTCTACAAGCTGCCGAAGAAGATTAGTCCGTTCATACCATCCGGCAAGTGTCATATTTCTCTACTAGATGCAGGAGTGTACAAGTTAGATTGTGATTGTGGTCTCTCATACATAGGGCAAACAAAAAGATCCATAAAAACCCGCGTGAAAGAACATATAGCTGACGTGAAGCACCGACGCTCCGGGAAGTCTGCAGTCTGCGAACATGTCCAAGATCGTCCCCACCATTACATTCGATTTGATAAACCACAAATTCTCGCAAAAGAACACCGATTCCTACCAAGGATGATACGCGAGGCTATTGAAATTAAAAAAAAATCCAAATTTCAATAGAGAAGATGGATGAGTGCTGCCACCTGCTTGGGATCCTATAATTAACAAAATTAAACTCAAACCTAAGCATACCACTGCAAGACTTCATGATACTATAAGCTCGTTTTGCGTAAATCGGACCAAAAATTAATATTCAAAAACTGAAGGTAGCCGGACTAACTATGACATTGGGACGTCAAACATCTCAGTCCCCCCCCCCCCGTGACCATAGGTGCTGTAAAGCACCCGAAACGTCGGGAATTAAAAATAAGTAAAAGTAATGAAATAAACGCGATAAAATCCGTAAATTTAGTTTTATTCAAAGGTTTTTAGCGACTATTAGAAGTTTAAGAGGTGACAGAGGGAAACAAACGAGGAGATAGGCAGCAGGCTCTTCCCAATAACTAAGTACTAGGAAAAAAACTTGCGATTTCCCACTCACCTGTCAAGAGCGGTAACTGTGGCAAACAAACCCCCTATGCTTAGCTAATTATAAAACATATATAAAAGCTATTTTGATGAGATTTTTGATAGGCGGATGATATGAGTCTCTATTTTGTTAAGAAAATTAATGAAATATTGACGTGGCATTTCATAAATATGCCAAATTTTAGTCACGTGAAATATTCAGCGAAAAAACCTGATGCCCAAATATTCATAAGCTCCTCAATTTAAAAATGCCGTTAAGTCTCGTGCAGTTCATATCACCGCACCACGAAACTTAACGAGATCTTAAAATTAAGTAGCGTTTGAGTATTAAGCCATAAGTAGCTGAATGTCATTCACCGAAGTGACTCCATAAGGTGTTGCGCTTAGCTGAATTTAATCTAGAGTGATAACAATACACTCGATGCTGACTTAAGGAAATAAAATTCTCGCTATTATTAAGAAAAATCGAAATCACTAGTGTTATATTCTTAGGTTTGAAGGTACTCCCCTTGTTGCCTCAGCCAGTATCGGAATCCTCGGCGTTGACCTATCGAGTGACGTGCAGTTTCGCGATCACTTGGAAAAGAAGACCAAACTGGCCTCAAGAAAGCTTGGCGTGCTCAGCAGAGCGGGACAGTACTTCATGCCGGCACACCGCCTGCAACTTTACAAGACGCAGGTTCGGCTGCACATGTAATACTGTTCCCATCTCTGGGCTGGAGTTCCCCAGCACCAGCTCCTTCTACTTGACCGCATCCAGCGCAGAGCGGCTCGAATCGAGCGAGTGTTTTCCGAAGAGATGTTGCATCTCTTTGCATTTTCTTTCGCATATATCTCGGGGAGTGCTCTGAGGAATTGTTCAGATTAATCCCAGCCGCCAAATTTCGTAAAAGTACTACGCGGCAAACGTCCCGATACCATCCACACCATCTGGATGCTTCGCGGTCCACCACTGTACGCTTTACAAGGAGTTTTCTTCCGCGTACGACCTCTCTGTGTAATAATTTACCACCGGCGATTTTTCCGGACCGATACGACCTGGGGGCCTTCAAGAAAAGAGCTTCCCTTTCAAGGGCCGGCAATGCACCAGCAATTCCCCTTGTGTTGATCATGGGCGGCGGTATTCACTTAACATCAGTCGAGCCGTATGCTCGTTTACCCCCTCTTCTATAAAAATATTCTTAGTTGGTAGAATTCCTTTTCTTGCTTATAGTCTATCTGGTTAGTTGCAACCCCTTATCGGTTTTTAACGCCAAATAGCAATGCTCGCACTGATGTGTTCTACCAGTCTGAAGGGTATAAAGAACCAATACATTTCCAGACTCAGACATTCCATCTTAGTCCTCAGATGTGATAATATATCTATAGCCTTCTTTGTCTTACGATGGCTGCAGGTGACAAAGGACTGTAATAGCCACATACCATTAGCTGGATTGTATGTTCGTTTTTCACTCCAGTTTATTAAAAAAAGAGCGTATTATTTGTTAAAAAAATACACACATAGGCATTCTCTCAGATATTTAATTTAATCCAGAAACATGTTCCACCGCGATAACTTCAACTTAAGCCGTGGTTTAATATTTAACTAATGTTCTTAGAAGAGCGAGGCCATTCTTGTCATCGTTTCTTTGTTTTCCAAAGTTTAATATGCTATTCTCTTTGTGTGTAGATTTATTTTGCTTCACGTAAAAATGTATACTTACACGGAAAAGCGAATATTTTATTTAAAATGTACTTACTAAAGCTACAATAGATTTCCTAGATGTTTAATGAGTTTATGGTAGCCATTTATTTTATGGTAATCGAGTATATAGTTATATAGTAAATCGAGTAAGTATTTTACGTTATAGGACATATACTTCTTAAAACCCACCGTCGAAAAAATATTTATTTATATGTCTCTCTAATCACCACACTTGACAGGCTTTGTTTTTCTCTGATTTAAATGATGAAGTAGATTAGCCTTCATAATTTGTTGTTATATTATTGAACTAGTTGTATTTGAGATTCCGAATGAAACGGTATAAATAATAGAGCAAAGATCAGAAAAAGGCAGATCGATAATTAGACAAAAAATATGGACCTCCACTGCAGGGAATGGGGGCCT